GCTAGGGAGCACGGCTCCGGCTGAGCCAGTGGCTGAGAACGCTTCCATTTGCTTCCCGCCCTTCTGAGATCTGGGGGAATCGACGCTTATTCACTCCCAGGATGCAAAGACTTTCTAAAGAGGTTTGAGACGATTCTCCCTAGAGTAATCCTGTTCCTCCTCAACTCTCTCACACACACACACACACACACACACACACACACTCAGGGCTCGAGAAAGCCTGAAAAGTCTCCAGGGAGTATCATAGAGAAATTGAAGGGTCACAGACCCAAAGTTAAAAGAAAACCCTTTGTTTTGGTACTGGGAATCAAACTCAGGACCTTGAGTTTACCAGGCAGGTGCTGTGCCCCTGAGCCATCGCCCCAGCCCTAGAAAACACTCTTCTTTAAATGCAAACACACCCAGGACCTGAGGGGAAGGGACTAGGAAAAAACCTAAAACCTACTTCACAATGACACCCAAACCCTATTCAGCTCACAGGACCTGGATGAGAGGAGTGAGACACTCTTCTCCGATGCAAAATGGGGCATCAGAAAACTCATTAATCAAAATATAAATCATATTTCAATGTGGTATTCTAAAAAAATAAAAATTAATGAAAAATATGCACAACAAATACAGTACTAAAACTTCAGTAAGTCAGGCTCTGTTTGAGCAGGTGTCCAGTAAGAAAGTATTTCAGGAATGTAGGCAACATATTTCCGGACTGGCCTTGGACTTCAGTGAGAGCTGAGCAAGTCATACCATGTCCCTGGGGCCCTCGTGGGCCACAACGGCTGCCTTATAGCCGTTGCGACCCCAGTTTAGGATTCGGGGATCCCCACCCTACCCACCCCAGTAGGAAAGGCCACCTCCCAGCATCCCAGCCGGAGAGCCCCATGTGGTCGTCATGCCTATGTCTGCTGTTCAGTCTAGTAAAACGAGGTGGTGGGGACTGCAGGGAGGGCGGGCACACCAGTCAGTGGGAAGACAGCTCGGGGGAAGGTGGGTCTGATGCCACAGGAGAGAGGCAGGTGTGGAAAACTCACAGCTCTGGCAACCAGCCAGATGCAGGGAATCTCTTTCTAGCTCAAAGCCCAAAGTGAGTTCCGATAAGCAATGCAGAGTCAGTACGAATCAGGAAAGACTAGGCTCAAGATAAGGGAGAGAACTCAACATTCTGCAGAGCCAATCCCAGGGCTCCCAGAGCAGCCTGAAGAGACCAGGAGGCTCCTAGGACCCACAACAGGAAATGCAAGGGAACCTGCTTATGTAGCCGAGGCTGGCCTTGAACTTATGGTGATCCCCCTGCCTCAGCTTCCTGAGTGCTAGGATTACAGGTGTGTGCCATCACGCCGGGGCCCCAAAACAATCATATCTTGATAAGAAGTCATTCTAAGGCCAGAGGCAAGTGATATTAGGTTGAACCATATGAAATAGCCAATAATTCCACTATTTTTGACCTATGATAAACACATACATTTTACACACACACACACACACACACACAACCATGCGCGCCCCTCCACCAAGGCAAGCAATCTAGCAAGGCAGAGCTTATTTACGGCCTGATGAGATAGCGACCTCAGCAGGATGAGTGGAATACACTCGAAACCATCTGAGAAAGCCAAGGAGAAACTCAACTGGCCCACGGAGCCGACCAGAAGCTTGGGGCTGGGCAGACTGGTTAGGCACCTACTAATTAGCCTTAATCAACCAGGGTTTCAGCTCCCACCGCCTGCTTTCCAACCCTGACACCTGACATGGATGACACCCAGTCACAAATGCAGGGCAGGGCCCAGGGCCAAAATCTCCCTGGAAACAGTAGGATTTTTTCCTCCAAATTTACATGTGGAATTTTATTAATTTGAATTCTCTAACAACTGTATCTTTTTTCTTTCCTTCTTTTTTTTTTTTGAGACAGGGCCTCACTATGTCTTGCTATGCAATTCAGGCTGGCCTTGAACTTGCTTATGTAGCCGAGGCTGGCCTTGAACTTACAGTGATCCTCCTGCCTCAGCTTTGTGAGTGCTAGGATTACAGGTGTGTGCCATCAAGCCGGGGCCCTAACAACCATATCTTGGTAAGAAGTCATTCTCAGGTCCAGCTAAGGCCAGAGGCCAAGTGATACTGAACCATATGTAACAGCCAATGGTTTGATTGTTTTTAACCTATGATAACATATTACACACACACACACTCGCCCCTCCACCAAGGCAAGAAATCTAGCAAGGTGGAGCTTATCAGCGCCGGACCTGGGGCTCCAGAACCAGACATGTAAGAGATGGAGCCCCACTACGTCATCCGGACTAGCCGCACATTCCTTAGTTCAGGTGATCATCCTGCCTCAGTCTTGCATGTAGCTGGGACAAGGGTGTACCACTGTGCCTGGCTGGGTCCATATATTTAAAGTTAGAAGGCAGCATCACCCTCACTTCACAGCTGGGTTTCTGAGGGCCAGAGGGGGAGAGACACTTGCACATTTACTAGTAAGTGGATAGCTCAGATCACCAAGTTTTTGCCACAATGCACTGCGGGTCGCTTTCACCTCTGCCTCGGGTCTACGGTGTGCTCAGGTCTTCAGGAAAAGTGGCACCACACAAGCACCAGGCCTGCTTCTTCCCCCAAGTCCTGCCGGAGGAGGTAAGTCTGTCTGAATTGCCTGACCAGGTCCTCCCTCACACCCCCAACTCAACTACACACAGTGGTCCCCGGCGTGCATTCGCAGAGGGTACTAGGGGATAGACGGACTTTCAATCCCGAGATACACTTCACAGCCAGAGTCTGCAGTACCTGCTGCGTTTTGGTCTATTAAAGGGAGCCTGGAGGGCTGGGCACGCAGCTCAGTGGGACAGCGCTTGACTGGCTTACACAAGGCCTTGGGCTCAAGCTCCAGCAGTGGGGTGGGGGGCTTTTTAAAACTGGAAAAGCCCTTGCCTGGGGAGGGCAAGCTTGATGAGTTCGCCGTGTCTCTGTGTGGGGTGGAGGTGGGCGTTTCCAGAACGGGGACTAACTCTGCAGCCAAGGTGGTGATCAAACACCAGGCCTAGGCATCCCGGGGGCGTCTGACTTTGCACCTCGGCAACAGTGGCCCGAGGGCTCAGGGGCTTTGCGCAGATCTCCATCCCCACATAGGATCTATGCTGTCCCATGGCCAGGGGGACCTTTCCAGGAACTGGCTGACTCCAGGCTCTAATCAAATCACCCTGGGGCAGACCCCAAGAAATCAGACATGGCAAACGGTCACTCTGGTGCTGCCACCAACCTCCCATGTTCTCCTCCGAGAGACAGACGGGGAGGACGGCCGGCCTGCCTGCCCGGGAGGAGGGAGTCGGGAAAGGACGCCTGTCCACACCAGTGCCACAGACTGTGGTCACGAGCGCATGCCTGGTCATGGTGCCCGTGCAGGGTGCTCAGCCAGGTCCCAGTCATTCCTCTTCCAGCAGCCAAAGGATGAAACAAAGGCAAGGTCCCCTGAGGCCAAGGTGGCGCAGGCCACAGCCAATGCCAGCACGCTCATCCTGCAGAGGAGGAGGAGGCTTCCTCTAGGAGCTGGCGGGGAGCCACAGTACCTCACTGACCTTCTCTGACACAGACTCCTATTACCTTTGTGAAGGACGCCTGTGACACGGCTTTTAAAAGGAAATCTGAGAGGGCAGAGAGAAAAGCCCAAGGTCACACAGCAGAAGCAGAATGGAGGGACAGAGTCAACTTGTTCAGTCTCAGCCTCGAAACCCAATTCAGCAATCTGTTCAAACAGCCTCTGAATTTCTCTTCTCTTGAATCCTCATGACTAGGCATCGCCCCTTTCCATACCTGGCAAGTATGTTAAATGAAGGAAATGACATCATTCTGTAAAGGTCAGGAGGAAAAGCCGGAACTATTCTGAGACACTCAAATGTAAGACATCACTGTTGGCATCACTACTCCCGGGCCCTAGGGAAGCCAAAGGATGCTGGGTTAAAAGCAGCCACCAATGCTTTTCAGAAACAACGTAAGGATAACTAGAAATCTGAGCTCTGAGCAGCGGCCCGGACCCCAGGCAGTAAACACGATGATGAAGTTTAGAACCAGCGGCGGAGCTGAAGGAACCGAGACACGGGGGGAAGCAGCACCTGCTCCTGTCAGCACCTTCCTTGTGGTGGCGCCCGCTGAGAGCGGAGGGCCGTGCCTCTGACTAAGCGGAGGTGCAGGGAAAAGAACGGCTACTGCTGCCCAAGTGGCTTCACCCACAGCTTCAGGGCCTGCTTCTGACCATGACTGCAGAGCAAGGGAACCTCCGCGGAGAGAAAGCCACTCAAATGGGTACTACCGAGACCATCACACAGTCTCCAGGCTTGCCCCAAACACAACACGGCAGGCGGGGTCCATCAGAGACCAGGCTGGGGAAGCCGAGAGACTGCGTAGCGTCTACATTGTCGTGTGTGCTCTCGGCAGCATCTCTAGAATAATCCTGCTTTTGCTCCTTTCGGGTACAATTATCTCCTGAGCCAAGACGCAGCTTCCCCTTGTCTGTCCCCTGAGTGGATCAGTAAGAACTGGATTCGGCCTCTTACTCCAAGGCAGGTAGCTGTCCTACAAATCATACCAGATCTGTGACACTACAAGGAAGAGAGACGGCTGCAACCTAGTACAACAGGACGAAGGAAAAATGAGCAAAGGAAAAATTCCTGTCTCAGGCCGATGCACAGTTAAGAGCCAGCATGGCCTGGATTACACCGTAGGCTACGACCTCCTCCACGGCCATTTAGTGCAGCTAAGGCTTTAGGGGCTGGGGTTTTGGAGGCCCAAGGAAAGGGCACAGACCATTTGTCCCCATCTCCCCACCAAGAATGAAGAGTCATCACTGCGTTGGTTAAAACCACAGAGCCAGGACACGGAGATGCACGCACGCCAGTCACCCCAGCACTCCGGAGGCTGAGACAGGAGGATCGTTGCAAGTTCGAGGCCAGCCTGGGCTACAAAGTGAGCTCAAGGGCAGCCTGAACTGCATAGCGAGACCCTGTCTCAAAAAGACCAAAAAAAAAAAAAAAAAAACCCCAAACAAAAAACAAACCACAGACAGAATTCATTGTTCTTCTCCTAGCCGAGGAGCAGGCATATGGGGGCAAAAACAGTCTCTTACGCACTGACTCTGCTGAATCAAGAGAGACGAGATGCAGTAACAAAATCGTGGCCAACACTGGTAGGGGAGGGAGCAGATGGTGTCATAAAATAAGAACAGTGTGAAAACCAAGGTTACCTCTTTTGTCCTCCCAGGGAAGGATTTCTATCACAGTAACAGAGAACAAGCAGCAACCAAATCTGTCACTTCTGCCAGCTGCACCACGCCCGCATCCTGGCACGGCAGCAGCCAATGCAAGGAACCTGCACCATGACCTCCGACACTGCCAGAGAATATTCCATGATAAAGGGCAGTGGAGCAACGTTTAGCTCCACGTCTTGTGGGCAGAGGAGCACAACCCGGGGACTGCACTCCCCGTCACACTGTTATTGTCACAGAGACACCTCAGTTCACATACAACATGTGAGGCCTCAGACAAGGGGAAAGTGAAGAAATACATGAGAAAGCTTCAGACAAGTTCAACATTCAAGCTCAGGAAACAAACAGCACGCAGGTCAGGGCTGGTCTCCGCTGTCTTTCCTACTCAGCTCACAGGGCAGAGCCCGGTGCGAGGGGCAGCTGTGCAAACACACGGCTTCCAGCGCTCGGGGCACAAGAGCTACCGCATGTCAGTGGCTCACTGAGCATCTCAGAAACAGCGCCACTCTACCACACTGCCCATCTACCGAAGGGACAACTAATGGCACCATTCTACTTCAAGGGCAAGGCAATGCGGATGGCAGGCTGAGAAGGAATTCCCACAGTTCCAACACCCACGGCCCGGGACACCCCACCCGTAGGCTATGGGGAGCCATCCACCAAGTGAACACATGACCTGAAGCCCACTGACCCAGGGACTGGAAGGAAGACCACGGAGAAGTAAACACACAAGGGCCCGACAACAAAAGAGAGAAACACTGAACTGGCACCAGACAGTGAGTCTTCCCAAGAAGCCGTTCCTGGAGGAATACGTTTGTGTCAGAACCTCGCACGACAGTGTCCCGACCCCAGGGGCCAGATGCGGGCCTTTGATAAGTGCTGGTTGGTTTCTACCCTTGACTGTTTCCAAACGGGGCCAGGGACACAGACTCCAGGACCCTCTTCACTGACTGTGTGTCTCCTGACTGCCCCTCCCCTCTGTTCTCACCGAGCCAGTTCCCCCGACCATCCACGGGTGCAAATAAACAGGTGGGGGTCTGGGTCACAGGTAGCCGGTGCGGGTCCATCCACAAGGGGGCCGCACAGGAGGCCACTTCACCCTGCATCTTCCAGCTGGCACCAAAGGGGCTTAGGACACCTTACACCAAACAAGACTCTGATGCCCAGGTGGGGGGTGGAAGAGGAGCAGATCAGTGGTGGAACATCCAACACTAGTATGTGGGGAGGCTGAACTCAGGGTAACGAAGGGCCCAGGCCGGATCTGGGCACACCCAACTGGCTGAGGGGAAGGAGCGGCAGACAGATTTGGCTGAGCGACTGCAGTGTCACCCTAAAGGAGAGGAAGACTCTGGAGGGCGGGGGACATGCACGCGCCCCCCTCCCCTGCACAGCCAGAGCTGACAGCCACAGCCCTCCACTAGGCATGGGGAGAAAGGCCCTGCAGGGCAGGGGGACCTTCACAAGTGGCCCTGCCTCCATCCCTTTTGTCTTCAAAGTGCATTATCAGTGCAAGAAGTGGGGCTGGATCTCGGGGGCCGCTGCGGAAAGGGCTGTGCCGGCCAGCTCCCTCCACCTCCTGCTCCCCTCCCCCGGGCCTGTCCACTCGCAGCTCAGAACTCCTGCTGGATCTCGTAGGCGGCGGGCCTGTGTGTGCTCAGCTCAGCCCTGCACAGCGGCACGGTGCTGTCCTGACTCTGCCCCTCCGCATCCAGGTCCAGAAGCGTCCGCTCGGCAGGCGGCAGCGGCCCCGCCTGCAGTGGGAGCAGGGCTGGGAGTCCAGGCCGCTCCTCCACGGTGCTGCTGCTGCTAGCAAAGCAGGAGTCCAGGTTGCTGGGTGTCTCCGTGCTGGAGCTGTTGGCTGGGGAGGCGCTGCGGGCATGGCTGGGGGACACAAACCACCAAGGATCCAGCCGCTGCCGGTTGGCCGAAGGACGGGGCCGAGGCAGGAACTCCAGAGTCTTGGGCCTCTCCAAGGTAGAGTCCTGCTGGGTGCTCCAGCGCCTTGGTGTTGGGGGGAAGACCACATTGGGGTCAGGGAGACGGGGAAATTCACCTGGGTCTCGGCTGGGACTGGGGGTTTTCGACACTCCTGGTCAGGGAGACAAAGGGAGACACAGATGACTGCACAGTACTCCTGGGTCAGATACACACTGTTCCCGCTCCACCCTGTCACTCCCTGGGCACTCAGACAACCCGAACTCATAAGCACTTCTTGAGCGCTTACTGTGCATCCCGCACTGTATTAGGAGTTACTGAGGATACCGTTGTGAACTAGAGGGCCAAGCTTCTTATAGTCCATGATAGCAATGGAATATATGAAGATCACATCAGGAGTGAAATAACTTAAGGCTAATATTAGCAAAAGATCCACAAGCTGGTCGCTTGTGTTTGTAAGGAAAGTTTTACAGGAACACGTTGTAGCTTACTCAAAGTCTGCTTTCCAACTACAGCAGCACAGCTGAGTGTTGTAGATGAAACTGTCTGACCCACAGAGCCTAAAACATTTACTCTCTGGTGCTTTCCTGAAACACGCTGCTGCCCCCTGGCTTAAGGGAATGTCCATCATTTACTGTTCACCCATTCAACAGACACGTGACCAGGGCAGAGCTGGGTATTCCAAGCTTAAAGGCGGTGACGCTGTCTCTTTTCCCAAAGAGGTTCCATACCTGAGTCTACGAACAGAATCACTGGCGGGAAGGTCAAGTGAATACACCGTCATTTGCAGATCTCACTAACAGGGGACCGCCAGCCCCACTTCTCCCGCTGGACTAGAGGTATTTCCCAAGCCTGGCAGAAAGTCCCAGGCTCAGAGTGTGTGCACCTGGAGTGCGTGTACCAGGGATCAGACGCAGAAGGCAGGCCTGTGCACACGGACCGCAGTTTACCTGGGCAGCTCTCCAGGCCCGTGAGTCAGGCAGGAGTGCTGATGGGTGTGCCGAACGGGCGGAAGCTCGCCTTATGAATGTGCCTGAACTAACACTACGACAGAAGGCAAGAGCCCAGCGACACGGCAGAAAATACCCCTCCTACATGTAGCACACGATTCCCTCCCGGTACTGGAGCAGCCTCAGGAAATAACCAGAAACTAGACTTCTCCCCCTCCTGTACCGAAGCACCGTGCTGCCCCAGACCCAGTGCCTGAACATCTCCCTGGAGGCCCACAGCCACGTCTTCTAGAACCTGCCTGACTTCTTTCAGTGGCAGGGAAGAGCCCTGAGGTACAGCACACACAGAAGTTAGCCAGCACCGGATCACTGGACTAACCCCAGATCGCTGTTTCTGGCCGAATGAGTAAGAGGGAGCACGGGGCTGACTCAAATCCGGTAGGAGAAAGAGGAAGCGAGGCACCTGCAAACGTCTTCTCTCCCCGGGAGGCAGACAGGAAGCTGAGAAAGAAGAGGGAGAGGCCGGGACTCACCTGCTCCGTGACTGGGGCTCACGCCATTGCTGGAGGGGCTCCTGCTGGCGAGAAGAGCCGCTGGCTTAAGGGCGCCATCGGAAGGAGTCCGCCGATGGCCACTCGGCTGCGCGGGGGCGGTGAGGGTGACATGGGTGGGGGTCAGGGACTGGTTGGGGTCTCGCTTGAAGCGCTCCACCCGGACGTTGACCAGGGGGTTGTGGGTGCACGGAGTCCGCGGCGGGGCCTCGACCGGGCTGACTGGCATCTCGTACACCACAATCTCATCGCTGTCAGAGCGCAGCAGGGAGCGGGTGGAGTTGCACTCAGAAATGGAGGAGAGAGACAGCAGCGTCAGGGAGGCGGCGGGGTCTCCCAGCAAGAGCAGGGGCTCCTCCTTCTTGAAGAGCTTGCGGGAGGGGGGGCTGGTGCTGCGACGAGGGCGGCTGGCCCTCTGAAAGAGACCCTCGCGCCTCTTCTTCTCTTCCCGGAGCGGCGGCTCGGGCTCCTCGGGGGGAGCCAGCTGGCACCTGCCAGCTTCCAGCAAGTCAAAGCCAAGGCCTGTGGCTGCCAGAACAGCCCCGCAGCCGAGCAGCGCCATCTCACAGCGGCGGTGGTGGGTGCTGCCGCGCCTGAGGCTGTTGGTGGGCGTCAGCTGAGGGGTACTGGTGGCTGAGTTGACTGGGGTGGGCTCCTCATGGACTCCATCACTCGGGGGGCCGTCCCCATCCTCTCCACGAGGAAATGGGATGCAGAGGTAGGACTGGTTGGGTGAGTGCTGCGAACGATTCTCCCCGCTCCTTGGGCCTTCGCTGTCCTCATCCTCTGTGCAGACAAGAGTGCAGGAGGAAGAGGAAATGAAACCAAACCTCTAGAACTAGAACCCGGCCCTTCGCCCAATGCATGGTCCCCGGACTCAGGGTCAGGGAGGAGACCGTCAGGACATGGAACCAGACCCTGAACCCATGTGGGTGCACCCCCCGCGCTCCACAGGGACCAAACTGGGGAGATCAATCTGTATTCCAGAGGCCATCTCCCTGTTTGGAGAAAAGGGAATTTACCAATTCACTACTTCTTTCATAGGCAGCCAACTCCCTTTTATTTATTTATTTATTTTTTACTAGTGCTAGGGATCGAACCCAGGGCCTTATACATGCTAGGCAAGTTTCTACCACTGAGCTGTACCTCCAGCCCAACAGGGAGCCTATAAAGTACAGTATCAGGACATCCTGGTATTTTTGTATCTTAAGATTAGAAAGGCTTTGGGCTTTCTAGAATGATAGCCTAGCAATGTGTCTTAAGATCAGTCTCCACAAAGGATGAAAAAAATCCCCCATATGGGTGAAGGCCAATCTATTCCATGGACTGACCTATCACAACCTTAGAAACCTGCAGAGATAAGAGTACTACCTGAGAGTGAGCCTGGAGAGGAACTGACTCACCACTGGTACTCAGACCCACACTGGAAAACCGGGCACAGGGGCTACGGTGTCTCTGATCACCACCCCTACTGTGTGGCCGCCCCCATCAATCTAGGAGGAAACTGACTCCGAAAAGCGAAATTCTTACTCAAGGCCTCGCCCTTCTCCACCGCCCCAAGGTGACTAAGGGCGGCCAGCCCTTGGGACAGCCCCTGGACAGGAAGCAAGGGCAGGCTCCATCGCAAGTGCGAAGAAACTGTGATTCAGCAAGACTCCACGAAGTGGAAGTAGAGGAGGCCAGAAGGACAAAGTGACAAACCCCGCGAAGGGCTTCCAGGGGCCCGTCACCAGCGCCGCAAGCCTGCTCAAGACTCCTTGAGGGGCCAGAGAGAACCAGCAGCAGCGCTTACCCGTCTCCGTGAGGCTGGTGAACCCTGGCAGGGCGGGGCTGCTCCTCGGGCCCTTCCCCAGGTTGGGGGCACTGGACGACCACTGTCTGTATCCATCGACCAGAGACTTGAGGCTGAAGGAGAGGAAGCGGGACTATCAGGACTGACTTCTTCCTCCGCTGTCTTCAAAGGGCCTCAGGAAACGTCCCCTCCTTGTCCACTGGGTTGCAGCGAAGAGGCTTGGGGACCAGGCAGCAACTTTCACGGAGCCACCTGCCTCACAGACAGCAGTGCACGTGCGCCACAGAAGCAAAGCGGGGGAGGACCTTGCCCCGCACATGCTGCGGACGGGGGGGAAGTCTGGCGAGCAGTGGGCAAGCAGGCAGAGAGGACAAGGCCTGCCCAACTCCGGGGTCCTGCCTGAGCCTCCTCAGGAGGAGGTAACTGATGCGGACACCGAACACAACACATTCATGACGTTAGAAATACTGCAGTGCAGAGACCTGCAACACAAGGCAAGCACGGGCCAGACACTGCTCGCACCTTTTCTCAGCCTCCCTTCAAGCACCCAGCATGCTTAGGCAACCGGTAAAGCCATCCACTTTTCAAAAAGAACAATCAGCCAGCGAAACTGCACCAACGCTGTGCACTTTGGGAGAGACCTATGTGGGGAGCACAGGGCGCACCAGCCCTCGGTTTATCTGGGGTGAAGAGAAAGAGGACAGCAGCTCACACTCACGTCCTTGCAATCCGCTTATTCGGCAAGCCAGTAACTCCCAGCTTACAGGCTGGGTGCCCCAGCAGTCCCTCACATTACAGAGGCAGAGGCCACAAAGCACTGGTCTCTTCCCCAGCAAAGAGTAACGGGAGCACTAAGGAATCTGTGTGCCCTGGTGGTTCTGAAGATCCAGGATTAGAACCAGAGGTGGCTCATTTTGTTTTAACACTTCAAGACCCAATCAAGTGTCCCAGGCCACCTGAGGGAGAGCAAGCTTTCTCCTTGAACTCAGAATTCTGCTTTGTGTACTATCAGAAACAGCAGCGAATTAAAGCATATCCCAGCCTCTTACCGGTTTCAACCACAATACTGAGCCTGAGAAAAACACGCTGCTAAACCCACAGCCTGGGACTTCAGATAATTTCACATCACTTCTAACACTGGATCCAAGCAAAAGCAGCTTAGCAAGTCAAAACCAGTATCCGAGACTGCAGGATAAATAGTGATGTGTCTTCTCCCTAAAGCTAAGGATGCCAGAAGTGGTCAGGAAAGTGAGTTATGCTAACACAGGCAACTTCCCAATGTGCACAATGGTACTACTCTTTAAAAAAAAAAAAAAGAAAGAAAGGAAAGGTAAGGACAAAAAAATGGAAGAGCAATGGCAGGGTGATTGCTACCAGTGCAGCTGGTCAAAGGGTGAAGCGCTGACTCACCCCAGGTGGAAATGTGGAGACTCTGATGGGGTACTTAAACCATTAGCTCTCTCACGTCTCTGAGGGGATCTTCAATGGATAAAGAGAGTCAGGAGCGGGTGACGGAGGGGAGGCCCAGCCCGGCCTCTCTCACACTGAAGCTCCCCAGGCTACACCCGCAATGCTGCTGGCCACCCGCCCCTAGTCCAGGCAGCAAAGACCACACCAGCGAAGAATCGCAACACCACAGCCCGGTTTGAGCCCTTTGAGCGCGGTTTGCGCCACCTTCTCCCAATCCAGTAAGGGTCCCTGGGTGGCCACAGGGTAACTATAGGGGGCCGGTAAATCCCAATACCCCAGAACAGTGTGTATTTCCTGCTGAAGACGCAAATTCACTCAACGTCACTAAACTCCAGATAGTTATTCGCCATGGCATATTTTCTTCAGTCAACAGGCACTAAAGTTGGAAACATTAAAGCTCTCAAAAATTTCTGAAACCAAAGAGGTTTTTACTCAAGACTTCAACAATAACTAAGAACTGTGAAAACTTACACCATACGTTTTTTAATTGGTTCTCTAAGTGTGCGAGGACAAATCCGTGTAAGGAAGAGGAAAGTGCAAAGTTGGTATTTCATAATGTGAAAACTTACTACTAAGATGAAAACATCCTTAAATGAAACACAACCATAGAAACTACTGAGATCTAGAGCCCACCTGGTGAACTCTACCTGGAGTTACGGTAATGTCAGAAACATCCAGCGATTCGGGATGACCGTGTCTCAGACCCAACTCAACCCTAGGCCAGCCCGGGGCTCCCAGCACGAGTGAGGACGCCTTGCTCCCACAGAATGTGGCAGAGCAGTGCAATCTGCTGTCCCCCAAGGGTTCGAGTGCTGACGTTATTACACACAGTATGGTTTATCCTACATGCCTGCAAACATTTTTGCTGTATTTTAATTTTCTTTTTCAATTTTTATTAGTACATGCTCATGGTACGTAATGATTACATTCCCCGTGGGAGTGGGTACATGGACTTTTCTCATGCCCTTCCCCTCGACTTCCTCTCTCCTCCCTCTGTCTCCTGGTCCCCTTCTGTTTTGCAAAAGCTGTCTTCCTACTTCTTGTGACCTATCTTCTGTTTTGTTCTCTATTTATATTTTGGATTTCTTATATAAAAGAAACCATGCAATAGTTAAGCCTATGTGTCTGATTTTTGGAACCAGCTTCGGAGAGTTAATCTTTTATGAACCAAACTGACTTTTTCCTTGAGCTAGGATCTGACATGGGGAGATGGGTTTGGGACATGGAATCTTAGCATTTAAAAGATTAACAACGCAGTGGCATGTTCAGGGCACCCGTAAGTCAACAGCCAACCTTAGAGGCTCTTCGGAAAGTCATCTGAAAAGGTGAAGAACACTGCTGGCTAAGCTCATAGTTAGGAAACTCAGGGGACATCGTTTTAGACTTTAACATCAAGAATAAGAAGTATAAACCAGAACACCCACGCTTCTGATGTGAAACACAACGGTGTGAGAAGCAGGGACAATCATTCTTGCTAACATTTACACACGTTTACTATGAGCCAGCTAATCCACGCACTTCAGACATGAACCCAGCTGATCCGCACACGCACTTCATGAGATGGGTACTAAGAGCATCCCATCCTATACAGAACAAAATGCAGGCTCACACACTGGGCTGTGGGGAGCCGGGACTCGTGCCCAGGCAGCCTGGCGTCACGGCCAAGCTCTCACACACCATGAATGCTTGACTTATGAAGAGTGCAGACTCAGGAAAATCTGCCTTGTGGCCTCAAGCCACATTCAAGGCACTAAGACCTCCAAGCTTCCCCCAGGAGCGGCTCACATGACTGCACACGGCCACTAGCTGAGGCCTGAATGCTCCAGTGCCCCCGGTGCTATGCACCCACTGGACAGGGACTGGTTACTCGGCTTCGGGACAAGCCTCCGATTAACCCCTGCCTTTCTTCTCTTTCCCCTGAAAAGATATCTTAAGGGGAAGAGCCGGGTGTAAGGAGAACTCTCAAGCAGAACTTTCCGCATTTCCTTCATTGCTGGGGCTACTCCGAGCAGAACATTGCGGGGTCGGCACACTACACTGGTGGGCTGAAGTTGGACTGGAACACAGTCACGCTCACCCATGAATGTATTCCCTGAAGACTACTTAGAAGTTGAGTAAGTGTGACAGAACCCAATAGATCACAAAGCCTAAAACATGTATCATCTGGTCGTTTACAGAAGCTTACTGATTTCTGTCATGGGGGTTCCCAAGAAACAAGAGACTGGAAAAGGCTGCTGTAAAGACCAGGAAGTCTGTAGTCTCTCAGCACTGAAACACACAGTAGAGGAAAAGGTATTTCATGGTTTTAAATGGGGGACCCATCTTTAAGTGAGAGAATTCACATCATTTGGCGCTTACCCTTCATCTCCTGAGGCGAGCTCCTTCTGCCCAACAGTCCCTGGCCCCCATGTCCGGCCCTTCTTCTTTGGGACCCGCTTCTCCTCCTCTTCCCCCTCCTCTCTGGGGATGACTGAGCTCCGGCCCCAGGTTTTGCTGTTTTCACCTGGTGTCACTGCCAATAACAAAGGTTGGATAAGACCCAGAAAACAGCCGTTCGGCCCTCCAAAGCCAGCTTCACGCCACCAAGCACACACACATGCACACACACCAGGAGCAGCAGGGAAGGGAGACCTCCTCAGAAACTCTGTGCCCAGCTGGGCCATCCCAGACATGCAATGGAGTCCCCGGCCACCAATCACTTAGCTCTCTCGAAGTACTAAATGTGAACTCAAGCCGGTCAGATACAGAGTTCCACACATACCCGAACGGAAACCTTGCTTTCTGGGTAGAATCGGATGGCAGGGAATGAAGACGTTAGTGGGGGAGGGGACGAGGAGCAAGGTAAATGGGAAGAACATAACTTTTGGAAAGAAAGACCTCAGAAGGAAGAAAACGAGGGGTTCAAAGCTACGGGAGAAAAAGTCCCGTGGAGAAGAAAGGGGAAGAACAGCCACAGAAACATAGAAGACAGGTGGGACATGCTTTTCACACTGCTACCCAGAGCAAGAGCCGAGACGCCCCGGCCTGAGGAGAGGCTTACGCAGAGAGTGCTGAAGGCAATCAGCTACCGAAACAAAGAGAGTTGAGGGGACTGAGGCACCTGGAGCATACAGTGGCCGCCAGCAGTTCCAGCCTGCGGTGGCCACATGCGAAAGGGAACCCACTGATCTGACCTGATTTTTCTGGGAAGGCCAGAAATCCACTACTTTTCCATGAAATCCACCTTTACAATGGGAAGCTAATTCACTCCCAGACACACATATATATGCATGTATACTCATCTTTTTTAAAGCAAATACTATGGTAAAAATAAAAACAGTCCAGGTTTGACCCACTATAAAATATCTGGCAAGTTTTCTTAGTACCTGGCCCTTGGAAAAGCCCCTCCTTGAGAAGCACCAATAAGAGAAAAACAATGAGGCCCCATGGGGCAGAGAGTGCCGTGGGGCTCCAGCGGCCCAGCGCACCAACCTCTGCCCGTACCATGTACCAGCCCCGAATGCTTTGCAGTTCACTAGAGGTCCTTCAGTGCCCACAAGTCCCTTTGCTGATACCTGACCAGGAGTAAAAGGTGGAGGGGGCGGGGTAAAGTTGACAGAGATAGACGGGGTGGGAGACTACAGATTTGCGTACATATGTGCATGTATATACACATTGCTGAGGAGAGGTGGCAGAAGTTATGGATGGAGCAAGCCTGGACCAGTCGGTGGCTGGATAAAGCAGGGGACAGGTGCCCCTAGTGTGTTCTGGCCCCAACCAACTTGGGAAACAGTCTCACACTGGATGGCTCGCAGGCGAGGAATGATGGTGGGGCTTGCGGGAGGGCTGGAGTGGCTGTTGATGAGACTCTTCCTTTTATCCATGGTGGGGGAGGCCTGCACTGTGAACTTGTGCTGGAAGTCTGTTAGGAAACAAGACAAACGCATGTATGGATTAGAACTGTTCCATCATCCAATTTATTTAACAAGTCTGACACCTCCTGACAGGTCTAAGGGACAGGGCCCAGTTTCCTGAAAAGCTCTGTTCACCTGGGAAAGGTTCCCTTTCAGAATTCTCTTTTTCCCAAGGGGACATGGCAAGATGAGTGTGTGAAACCATGGGAAACTTCATTATCCAAGTAAACATCATTAAAATAGTCTTCACCCTATGTATACCAACAATGTAGGGGAAGCATTCAATGAACATTTTTTATCAACTATATGAAAGAAGTCACACTGGAGAGTGAACCTATATATGTAAGCCTATTTTGAAGAGCTTGTGAAAATTCCTCATGTAGTAGATACCTGTACACTTATAAATGAAAAATTTGATGTCAATTTTTATTCATGGGTTTTCCAGAAAATACACTCCTAGATGGAGATCTCCTAGATTGTATTCTTCTGCGTTTTTCAGGAAATCGCTTTTAAGTAACTGAACGAGGTATCTGTAGTAGGAACAATACTGCCATAATATATTTTTATGTAGGCCATTGTCTTTGAACCTAATATACAGTATCTTCTCATGAAACAAGATGAACTGAAATGTATTTCTCACTTTCAAGTAGGTGTAATTTTGATTTTGTTTTGTTTTTACTATGGGGAGGTACAATCAGCTAAAATTTTATTAATAGTTTTCAACTGGGAGTTCCCACTTTAAAAAAAAAGACAGTCTTCATAAGCTCTCTTTTTAATGTGTATAGTTAGAGAAATTACACATTGAGAACAGCTATTGAAGGCTGGGGATATAGCTCAGTGGCATAAGCGCCTGCCTGGCAAGTGCAAGGTCCTGAGTTCGATCCCTGGTACCATACAAAAAAAAAAAAAAAGAGAGAGAGAACAGCTATTTAGCTCATGAGATCCTGCTGACTATTCTAGAAAATGTAACTTTTTTTTTTTGGTACCAGGAATTGAACTCAGGACCTTGTGCTTGCCAGGCGGGCATTTTTGCCACTAAGCTATATCCCCAGCCCTAGGAAATGCAACTTAAAATCTTGGTTTCATGCCTTCTTTTCAGGGACCAGAGGAGGGAGATAAATGCCCCTCACTAAATACAGCCAGAGCAGGGTATTGAAAGCTAACCCATGGTGGGAACCTAGGGAACCAAGAGAGATGGGGCAAGTGCCCCAGTTCTAACACGTTTCAAAGGCAGTTAGAGTACAGCATAAAGAAGGTAAAACTTACAGCTCTGAATTTCTGAGCGTGTCTCCTAAGAGGTATAATAAACTGCTGCTTGTCTGCACCTAGGGTCTCCCTGCTAGACTGTGATCTCGAGCACATGGCATCTGTATTTTTTGTATTGGGGTCTACATTTTTATATTTGCATCCCCAGCACAGCACTCTATGGGCATAGGCTAGATGCTCAACAGGGGCTTACAGACTCCAGGCTACCTGAAAGGAGAAAACGTGCAAGGGGTAATCCAGCACACACGACCTTCGAGCACATTCTCAGAATTCCCTCCTCCGGGCCTAAGGCTTAAACTCATCCACGACTGTTCTTATTATGCCATTTCCCTGGTTCCTTACACTTCTAATAAGCTTGCTCTCTACAGCCTTACAGACTCAGAACACAAACAACATTTTTATCTGTACAAACACACACCTGAACAATCACCTCCCTCCACGGGTGTATCACATACACAAACATTCTAACTCATAGTTTCGTACTTCTTTGCATTTTGCCAAAGGCTATAATTCCACTAACGCACCTGTTCTCAGCCAGTGATTTCTAGAAGGTTAGACACATTAGAGCCAATCCCCACTGCCCTCAGAGAACTAGTTACTCAGTGAAACCTTGAGATGAGCTGTTGTGCAGAGACAAGATTTCTCCGGTCTCACACGCGCACGGCGCAGACAACCCCCACCTGCACGGTCCCTTCTGCATCTCCGCCTACAGCGCCCGAGCCATTCGACCAGCAGCCTGCGCCACGCCAGTCTCTCTTCGCTTCACGGTCTACATTCACTCTCACTCTACAGTTCTCCTGGAGTGGGGCAGATTTTCCGCAAACCAGACTTCCCACAGCACACAAAGGCCCATTCCAACAGGTCCACGTGAGACCTACAGTCTTGTGTCTCCACGCCTAGCAGCAGCTCCCAGGAGCCCTCCCACACAGGCCCGTGCCTTGCTCCCACTCCCACCCAGGAGCCCTCGCACACAGGTTCCTAGTCTTGCTCCCTCTCCCACCCAGGAGCCCTCCCACACA